AAGCCTGACTGTTGATTGACTGTTCCACTTCATCCCCAGCAGGGACCCTCCTGTTTGTGCAGACGCTGAGAGTGGACGTAAATCAGAGCTGAGCTGGAGGCGCTCGGCCTCAGGAAATCCCCTCTGCCTCCGACAGACAGCCAGTGTCCTCAGCAGATGTCGAGGAGCAATAACATCAGACAGACTGCACTGCCGAGGCAGACAGCCGTGCACTATTACACCACATAGACTTCCAATAACACTTCCCGGGTAGATGTAAAAGAGGCAATAAGATTAGACAGTCTGCTGCCAAATGGACTATAACAGATCACAGGCTGCGGGGGGACACTCGGCCCGGAGCAGGAGGGAGGGAGGCCGACCAAGCTATCAGACCTTTTTTGGTCAATTCTCCAAAGGTTGTTGTTTGCTTGAACCAAAGAGCTGGAGGTGAAGTTTTCAGGACTCAATCCAAAGTTTGTGTCTGCACAAGTGAATCTTTCAGTAGTCAGACAAACACTGAGTTCATCTTCAGCAGCCTGGAGTCAACCACAGAGACGTGTCCTTTTTTGCAGCTCGTTATGATCAGCTGCACACGTGCAGACGTTGTTCACTATTGTCACGTCTACAGTTTCAGACGGTCGAAAGTTTTTGTCTGCATGGATGCAGAGCCTGAGGACGAGGCTGCAAGCATCTGCACGCAGCTGCAGCTAGAAGGCGGCGTGTAAAACTGTGTCACACATCAGAAGAAGCCATCGGAGCGACACGCTGATTTACTGGAATACACATCTGTGATTACAGCCAGAGCGCCTCGATGATAGCGCCGTGAAAGCGATTAGCCTATTAGCTTTCACTGAGCACACTGAGCTCTTTCCTTCCTGACTGTTAAAAATAAAACGCCGTACAACACTTTCCTCGTCATGCACACTCACACACTGCTGCTTTGACTGTTGATGTCTCACATATTTTGCTAATATCACAGATTGATCTTCTTTTATAAAATCTGCTGCCAGTGGACCCGTCCGTGTTTGCGTTTGGTCAGGACTGCGTTAATTCATCGAGTTGACAACCAGCTTCTTCTTGTTTCTTTATCCTGATATGCTGAGGCTGAACGCTTCAGTGTCAGACCAACCAGACATATTTGCCCCTTTTTCTGTTTGCTGACATGAGAAAACTTCAGACTTACTGCAATGTTACCCTAACTCATTTCTAAAGCTTTGGTTTTGTAATGAAATTAAATAATCGTTTTGTTTTTATACCCACCAACAGCATCACGTTAACATTAGAACAAATTGATTTCTAAATCCACTTTCTCTTACTTTCAGTTCTCCACTCAGACTAAAGAGTCTGAGAACATCGAGAACGAACAAACACGTGCTCTTTAACCCCGCCCCCTCCTCAGACCCACACACTTTGCTCAGGAGTAATGTTGCACTGCTCGCTGAGCAGGCACTCCAACACGAAGCTTGATATAGAGAAACCATTTGTGCTGCATGCTGGCGTCCTCACCTGATTCAGAGCTGTACATGTAGACGAACCTGGTCCAGTAGAAGTGCTCGAGCAGGGCCATGAGGGGCTCCTGCAGCTGGGGCCGCAGCTGCAGGACGAACTGGTTGTTGGTCTGCACGGGGAAGGACGGCGTGACGAAGCAGACGTGCAGAGACCCGCAGAAGGACATCAGCATGTTGACCGTCCGCCGGTCGTACAGACCCATGATGGCGTACACTCCCTTGGAGAACTGTGAGCAGACTGGTGCAGAAACACAGAACAAGAGCATTTCATTAATGTTTATTTACATCATTTTTGAATGATCTGCCATTTGGAGCCAAACGAACAAATCACCACCAATGCAGCGCCCGGGGAGCAGTGTGTAGGGACGGTACCTTGCTCAGGGGTACCTCAGGGTAACCGTTCAGTGGAGTCGAACCCCCGACCTTCCAATCATGGGGCCACCACTCTACCTACTGAGCTATCCCTGCCCATACACATGGTTAGATATGACTCCAACATACTGACGATGTTCAATATACCAAGATCTGAAAAGGGGAACAAATTTGACTCAGACCATGGGCCTTGGAGGGATGGGGGGCAGTGGGTTATTGCCCCAACACCCCACTCCCACATCTTTTCTTTAATGAAACTAAACGTTGCTCAAATCATGGTACCTGATTTAGACTTAACCTTCCACAGAACCCAACGTGCACCTCCTGAGAAACATGAGCACACATCCGGTCGACGTGGTCGCCATGGAAGGTAACGGCGTATGCGGTAAAGGGGTTACATGTAGTTCAATTCATCCATCCATCCATTCACTTCCGCTTATCCTTTTCAGGGTCGCAGGGGGCGCTGGAGCCTATCCCAGCTGTCATAGGGCGAGAGGCGGGGTACACCCTG